GGAGACCCTGCTTCAAAAAAGAACCCAAAAAAGAAAAAACAGTTAACAGTATCCACTGTTGTCATAAGGACTAAAAAAGCTTCACTGATTTTCACAAAGAAGTTCATTGTAATCCTTGCAAGAGTGCCGGGAATTTAGCTCAGTGGTGCCCCCGCCCGCCTCACAAGGGCAAGGTCCTGCATTCTATCCTTGGTACCAAAAAATAATACCAATAATAACTCTGGCAAGAGCATATCATTGACTTTTCACCACTATATCATAATTGGACTATGGTGGCTTAAATGGAAAGTTAGAAGTCAAAGATCGCTGTCTTAGTTAACTCTAAAAATGTGTAGGCGTGGACTTCCCAAGAGAGAAAAAGCCACTAGCTGATGGAAATAAACTACAAGTTTGAGAGAAAATCTGGAGATTGTTTTGACTTTTTAAGTAAAAGAGATGAGCACACTTGAATGTTGCTGGGAAGGAGTCAGTACAGAAAAATGTTGAAGATACATAAAAATAAAAAGAAATGGGGAAAAAATGGGTGCAGAGCGCATGTAAAAGGATAGACCTTAGAGAGAAAACAGGGCCATGTGATTAACAGTAGAAGGTAGAGATGGCTATGTGGGCAGGTAATTTACTGATCTTGTAGCAAGAAATGGAGGGAATTTTATCTACTGGCCTCTATTTTTCTATTAAATAGAAAGTAAAATTGCATGTGCTAAGGGAAAGACAAGATCCTCAGTTTTCTACAAAATGAGGCATGTCTAAAATAGCTACCCAGAGGAAAGAAAGAAAACAAACATTAATCACTTCTGGGACTTTTGGCTAAGATCAAGTGTAGAAAACAAACATTAGCGCAGCACTGAGCGTGCGGTGTGCAGTGACCATAAATATATAGAGATAGCATCCTGGCAAGCTGAGTGATTTCTTATGTGCTCAGATTTCTCAAATATTGCCCAGCAGTACATGCCTGGGTACTTTTTAAAAATAAAAATAAAGACAGACAATTGAATTCATCTACAATTGTAGTGTTTCCAGGCAGGTACGATGGAATGACTGTGGAGAAAAACTGTTGAAAACGATCAAGAGAGTTATGGAAGTGATGGGCCACAAAAAAGGCTAAGCTGGAATATGTACATAGATCCATGCTGTAGATATTCTAGGCATTTCAAAGAAGCAATGTCTTGAAGGCTGGGAATAAAAGAAGCGAGATGAAATTTCTTTGGTGTTCCTTCCCCATGCTCTGGGTAGTGCCAAGTAACTATTCTAAACTGAGAAGTATTTGTAGCAATCTAAATAGCATAAAGAGGCCATCGCTCAAGCGCCGTGAGGTAGGCTGGGCCCCGAGCCACCGCGGGAAGAGCCGCACCTGCTCCTGATCCAGCCGCCATCGCTCAAGCAAGCGCCAGGAAGGTAGCCGCACGGGCACCCCTGAACCCCTATAAGTCTCTCCCCCCCCCGCACTCTCAGACCTCCTGTGTCAGTCTTTGGACCCACTCTGCAGAGGCAGAGGGGGTCATCAAGGGTATTTTTCTGAGTTCCCAACTTTGAACATCTTTAAAGAAAGGGCATGGGAAAACTGTAATAGAACGCTGTGGAGTTCAACCATTCAGAAGACTCAATCTGGGCCTTGCAGCCCGAGGTCAGTCAGCGTCATGGGGTTCAGCCATCAGCTAACTGAGACCAGGGGTCTTGCATCCTCGCTCTGTCTGAGCCATTAAATGGTAAATACACTATATTGAAATTTTGTTCACTGCACACATGTTCTGGACTGCTTCTTGATTTCAATTTAATTCAAATGATTTAAGGGTGATAGACTAGTGACTACCACAGGTGGTCATTGTCTAAGTTGTGCTTGATCTTAATGTGTTGCTGATTTTATCAGTTGGGATAAAGCATTACAGATGATTTGATGAGATGTTTCTCTGATGTTATGAAGATGAGAATGTCTGTGGGTCGTTAGAGACACAGAAGCTAGGGCACAACTATATCAGGTAGATTTGGGTGATAACCCAGAGATTAAACCAAGGACAATCTGACAACAAAAATAAAAATGAGAAAACACTTAAACAAGACACAAGGACAGACTTCCAGTCCACCAATGGCAAACAGTAGGGCAAATGAGGGTGAAAAGGCCGATAGTGAACCACCAGGACACCCTGAACTCAAAGCACAGGAAGTAACAAAACAGATCGATCAGGCTCTAGAAAAATTCAAAACAGAACTAATTTCCCAGATAACCATAGAGATAGTGAGCAAAATGGAAGTCGTGATTTGAGACTCTAGAGCAGAAACTGACCAAAAAATAGATGAGCTCAGGACCACGATAGAAGCCATGAAGGCCCAGCATAAGAAAGAAATAGAAAAAATAAACGCCCAACATAGGAAAGAAATGGAATCCACAAAACAGATTCAAACAGATATCCAGGAGATTAAACACTCCATAGAAAGTGTACACAACAGAATAAAAGAATGCGAAGATAGACTCTCAGATATAGAAGATAAGATTGCAGTCAGTGACCATGAAAAGAGAGATCTCTTAAAAACAGTAAGGGATCATGAGAAATCAATCCAACAACTCCTAGATGATGCAAAGAAGAATAACATAAGACTGATAGGAATACATGAAGTAGCAGGAGAAAATAAAAATGACTTTAAAAAGCTGTTTGCAGAATTAATGACAGAAAACTTCCCAAACAGAGGGGAAGAATTTGACATTCAGATAACTGAGGCATATAGGACCCCAACTAGCTACAATCAAAAAAAATCTACACCTAGGCATATA